AGACCCCCCAAAACCCTCCTCAGACCCCCCAAAAACTTCCTCAGACACCCCAAAAGTCTCCTCAGACTCCCAAAAACCTCCTGAGAACCCCAAAAAAACACCTCAGACCCTCCAAAAACCTGCTCAGAACCCGAAAAACCTCCTCAGAACCCCAAAAACCTTCTCAGACTCCCAAAAAACCTTCTCAGACCCCCCCAAAAACCTCCTCAGACCCTCCGAAAACTTCCTCAGACACTGAAAAACCTCCTCAGCCCCCCCAAAAACCTTTTCAGAGCGCAAAAAACCTCCTCAGACCCCCTAAACCTCCTCAGACCCCCCAAAAACCTCCTCAGACACCCCAAAAGTCTCCTCAGACTCTCCAAAAGTCTCCTCAGACCCCCAAAAACCTTTTCAGACCCCCCCAAAAACCTTTTCAGACCCCCAAAAACCTCCTCAGAACCCCCGAAAACCATCTCTGACCCCCAAAATCCACTGCAGGAACCCCAAAACTCCCCTGAGTCCCCCCAGAACTCCCCAGGCCCAACCTGGGCACCTTTGGGACCCCGATCCCCTTTAAAGAAAACTCCCAATTCCCCCCGAAATTCCCCTTGAGATCCCAAACCCTCCCCAGGGAGCTCCTAAATCCCCAGAATTGGATTCCCCTGAGCCTCCACCACCCCTGGGACCCCCCCAAAACCCCTCGGGGTGCCCCCCTGACCCCTTTTCCCCCCAGCCCGGACCCCCGGCGCGTTTTCGTGGCTCTGGGCTTCGGCTTCTTCGTGGAGCTGACGCTGCCCGAGGCCCTGCGTCACCTGGAGCGCCGCAGCTCCCTCCTGCAGAGGTGAGGCGGCCCGGCCACGCCCCCGGCCACGCCCCCAGACCCTGGACACGCCCCCAGACCCTGGTCACGCCTCCGGCCACGCCCACAAACCCTGGACACGCCCCCGGCCACGCCCCATGGTGCTGGGTGTTGGTCATTGGTCACTCCGCCTTGGTCACGCCCCTTTTTAGGCCACGCCCATCAATGCCACACCCATTGATGCCACGCCCACCCAGTGCCACGCCCCAATCCCGTTGTATTTGGGTGGGAAGGGGTACACGCCCATTTTTGGACCTCACCCACTTAGGCCACGCCCCCCATTCCCATGGATTTTGGGGTGGGAGGAGATGCCCACGCCCACCCAGGCCACGCCCACTCAGGCCACGCCCTCTTACGCTCACCTGTGCTCACAGGTGGCCCCAGATGGGCAAACCACGCCCCCTTAGGCCACGCCCACACCATAAAAGGTAATCACCTCCCCGCCCCGTGGCCAAAAAAGGCGTGGCCTCCCGCAGGCCACGCCCACGCCACCCAGGCCACGCCCACCCCACAACAGGAAGGCACGTCCCCATCCTGATGACAAAAAGGGCGTGGTTTTGCCATGTCAATCATCAGGCCACACCCACTCGGGCGACCCCACCCTTCCCAAGCCCCTCCCACCTAAGCCCCGCCCCCCGCAGGCTCAGCGAATCCCTGACGCGGGACGGGGCCAAGATCCGCGCCCACATCCGCCTGGTGCTGGAGGTAACCACGCCCCCCTGCATGGCCACGCCCCCTCCTTCAAGCCACGCGCCCTCCTGCAAGCCACACCCCCTACTTCATGGCCACGCCCCTTCCATGCGGGCCACGCCTTCTCATCTAGGCCACGCCCCCTCCCTGCATGGCCCCGCCCCTTCTGCAAGCCATGCCCCTTCCTGTATGGCCGCGCCCCCCACGGTGGGCCACGCCTTCTCATCTAGGCCACGCCCCTCCCTGCATGGCCACGCCCCCAACTGTGGGCCACGCCCCCCACTGTGGGCCACGCCTCCTCCTCGTGGGCCACGCCCACTGCATGGTCACACCCCCTCCCTGCAGGCCACGCCCCCTCCCTGCAGGCCACGCCCTCTCCTGTGGGCCACGCCCTCTCCCTGCATGGCTCCGCCCCCTCCTGCAGGCCACACCTCCTCCTGTGGGCCACGCCCCGTGACTGGCCACGCTTTCTCCCTGAAGGCCACACCCTCCCTGCGGGCCACGCCCCCTCCCTGCAGGCCACGCCCCTGACTGGCCACGCCCCCTTTCTCTATGGCCCCGCCCCCTCCTGTGGGCCACGCCTCATCCTGTGGGTCACGCCCCCTCTCTTTCAGGCCACGCCCCCTCCCTGCATGGCCACGCCCCCTGACCGACCACGTCCCCCGACTGGTCACGCCCCTCCCTGCGGGCCACACCTCCTTCATGGCCACGCCCCCTCCATGTGGGCCACATCCCCTGACTGGCCATGCCCTATTCTGTGGGCCACTCCCCTTTCTCCAGGCCCCACCCCC